CCTTCACAAGGCTAACTTAGGCTGTCTCCATCAGCTAATTTTGAACCTTTTTATTCAGCTGCATTTGGCAGAACAAATGCAGCTTCAGTGACAGAAGAGAGACTGACTGGGTAAAGTACCTTTTGTGAGACCAAAGGCATCAGCTTTAGATGTCTGAAATTAAACAAAAATTTTGTTAGAGCTAAATCTGTCTTTGTTTTGCTGGACTATGTGGAAAAATCAACCTTTAACTCAGCTGGTAAAAACTGGAAATACATTGTAGGCTCTCATATCAGTCTCTTTTTTTCCAGCAGCAGCACTTCTTTGATGATGAGGACAGAACAGTTCCAAGCACACCAACTCTTGTAGTTCCACATCGTACAGATGGATTTGCAGAAGCCATTCAGTAAGTAGATGTGAAAAGAAAAAGTTAAAAAAAAGCCTTTTCTCTATTCTTTATTCTACTTCTTTCTATTTTTCAGTGAAATTAAAATAAATTTAAATTAAATGAACTTGTGATTGAAGTAACATGGTAGGTGGTAGGATAGATAACTGCATGTGCAGATAAGTAATTATTGTTTGAATTGTGTGTCATATAACTGATCAGCAAATTAGGAAGTGAATATTCTCCAGTGTATTGTAACCTGGTGATTTAAGAAGAGATTAAACAAACAAAAAAGTTCTATCAAATTTCCTTCCTTGTTCTTCCTCCCTCCCCATTGGTATTGCCAATGAAAGTAGGAAAAGTTACTTCCATTTTTGCTTTTGGGATGTTCTGGACATGTCCAGCAATCCACTTAAAATTCTGAGAGTTCATAGAATGGATAAGTAAAGAATATTCTCTTCAGGACTGTTGTACTGATTTTGAATGCATTCCTAATAATTTGAGAGCTAATTGCTGTTTATTTAGCAGTAGCTCAGCTGATTTTTATGGTCAGTATTAGCTCATTTTGTCTCATGCTTGATTTGTTCTCTTGGTCAGAAAGTTCTCCCCCCTGCCCCGATCTTTGGGGAAGTTGCAGAATTCCTGAAGTCTGTATTTTCCAGTTCCCCCCAGGTAGCTGGAGTTCCTCGGTTCAGATTTGGGCCCCCTGAAGATATGCCACAAACCAGCTCCAGTCACTCTGATCTTGGGCAGCTGGCATCACAAGGAGGTAAAGCAGTTCTGGGCTCTCTTTTCTGTGAGTCTTTGAGTGAAGAAGAGCGAATTCAGTCAACAAAACACAATTCTTCACACAATGCTTCAGGAAATTGTTGAAGTGTGGAAACCTGCAACTCTTCAATAATGGTCAGCAGGGAGAGAATAACAGAAATTGAGAAGATGTTATCTTCAAGCTGCTACATTTATAGTCATGTTAGGATTTTGAAATTGAATGAAATATTGAAGGAATGGTTTTTAACTGCAATTTTACTATTGGTTGTGGCTTCCCTGTAGTGAAACGTTAGGGGGAAATATCAAATGAAAAGAAATCTTTGGGCTATATCCTTATCTGCTCAGAGATGGCCAGGCTGTTGTGTTTGCTGTTGGTCTGAATCTGTCCCTTTCCTCGGCATCCCTGTTGGCATGGAACACAGGCTATTCTCTGAAGAAAGCTCACAGAAAAATAATGCAATGATGAAAGTTAAAAAAGCAGTAATACTTTCAAGGTTTTACCTTCCAATAAATCGTTATCAGCTCTAGCAGTAAATCAAAACAAAATAACAAAAACCTGATTAAATACAAGTGACTGGATTTTATCAGGTAGCCAGAGGGAAGACATTGGTTAATCCTTTTTATAGCCACTCATTTGGATGGATTGTCACTGGAACTTTGTGTTGCAGGTTTAGGGATGTATGAAACCCCACTGTTCCTTGCCCACGAGGAGGAATCAGGGGGTCGCAGTGTCCCCACAACACCGTTACAAGTGGCAGCACCGGGTAAGTGGCAGAGATTTGCAGAGCGAAGCAGGGAATGATTCCCCATTGCTGCTCCTCAGGGCAGCCTGTCCCCGAGCTGCCTGTGCTGTCACGGGCTCTGTGGGCAGGGCCTGAGGGTGTCTGTGCCCCGCAGTGACGGTGTTCACGGAGAGCGCCTCAGCCGACGCCTCGGAGCACGCGTCGCAGTCGGTGCCCATGGTCACCACCTCCACCGGCAGCCTGTCCACCACCACCGAGCCCGGCGCCGGCGACGACGCCGACGAGGTCTTCGCAGAGGCAGAGTCTGAAGGGTAAAGCACCACTGCTGCTCTGGTTCACTGACACATCCACTGTCACCCAGGGGCAGCTCAGACAGCGCTTTGTAGTGCTGTGGGGAAGGACAATCTGACTCTTCATCCAAAACCAATGATCTACTGATGATTTTCTGCTGATCTTCTCCTTGGGGTTTAACAAAGTTAATATAAAAGTCACCAAAAAAAATTACTATTTTTTAAGAATGCAGAGCACTCTGCAGTAGTCATACTGATGTTAAAGGCACAGGTTGAAGGATCAGTTTGTAGAATAAAGACTAAGGCAGTCCTGCGTAATACAGAAAATCACTCCTCATGCAAAGCACACATGTATGATTAAGTCACCCAGTTAAGACAGTGCATGTACAAAAGATGAAGCACAGGGCTGGAATAAGCCGTTCTTAGTGAATTTTGTAAACAAATAATTTTGTCTTTTGTTTTATAATATTTATAATAATTGCTATATTTTGTAGTATGGTGAAGTTAAGATCTAAAAGGGGACAGTTTATCATTTTATGCTATATTTTACTTTTGATTTTCATTGAATCTTTGTGTTCCAAGACAGGGGTTGTTTTTTTCTGGACCTTTTTGAAGCTGTGCAAATATACTTACATGGTTCTCCTCCTCCACCTTCCCTTCTAGCATTACTTCAGAAGCAGGCCTAGAAATCGATAGCCAGCAAGAAGAAGAATCTGTTCAAGCATCTGATGAGTCAGATCTTCCTTCAACTAGTCAGGATCCTCCTTCCAGTTCATCTGCAGGTACAGAATAATCACAATAATAGTTTGTACCTTTTCATTAAGAGTGAGAATTCCTTTGTCCAGCATTGTGGCTGGTAGTCAGGATACACAAAATAAGATAAAACTCTTAGAATCACAGACTCATAGAATGGTGGAATGGATCTTGAAGCCAATCCAGTGCCATCCCTGCCTTGGGCAGGGACACTTTCCACTAGACCAGGTTGTTTCAAGCTTTGTCCAGCCTGGCCTTGAACACTTCCAAGAACCCACAGCTGCTCTGGGCACCCTGTGCCAGGGCTTCCCCACCCTCACAGGGAACAATTCCTTCCCAGTGTCCCATCTGACCCTGCCCTCTGGCAGTGGGAAGCCATTTCCCCTTGTCCTGTCACTGCATCCCTTGTCCCAAGTCCCTCTCCAGCTCTCCTGAAGCCCCTTTAGTCATTGGAAGGGGCTCCAAGGTCTCCCCAGATTATCTTAGCGCAAGATCATAATTTGATGCCTATAGATTCTTTGGTACTTTGGTAAATCATTTTTCCTTGGTCCGCAGTAACTGGAGTAGGCCAAAAAAGAATAACACTTCAAGGAGCAAACATTACTGGTACTTTGGTGATTTATCCACTGGCATATTTGATGTCAGTTTTAAAATATTTTAATTAAATTGTCAAGCAACAATAAGTTAATCTCTGTTGAGTTAACAATTAACCTCCTTGTACAGAGAGCAAAAGAAATCCCAGACTTGTTTTGAAGCTTTTATTTATGTTAGAGAAGAGGTCAATGAAATTGAAGGAGGCACCTTCATCATTCTAAAGTAAAGAAAGCATAACACATACCAAAACATGTAAAGATGAGAACCTGGCAGGCACAGCCACCCTTTCTTTCTGCCTCTCCCACAGACACGAGCAGCACTCAGCCCAAGTCCCTGCGCCGTGTCCGGCTGCAGCCCCCGACGCTGAGGACGGGCGTGCGTGGCCGGCAGTTCAACAGGCAGAGGGGTAAGTGCTCCTGGCTGCTCCCAGCCAGGCTGGCCGTGCTGGCAGGCAGGGAGGGAGTGACACAGCAGCCTGCCCTCGAGATTGGTGTGTGACCCTAAGAGCTCTAGTTTGGGTTTAGTGTGTTAGGCTGAGCAGATTTCGGACAGGCAAACTTCCTTCTGCCATAGCACCTGGCTCTTATCAGTAGAGAGAATGTAAAAGGGCATTAGATCTTCAAAGTTTTAAAGTAAGGTTTCAGAAGTCTATTAGGACAGCAGTTTAGAAACTTCTGGTTTTAGCATTTCCATTTGGTACATTAAGGATTCCAGTTATATCAATGTATACTCATTGAAAAAAGCTTTATTGGAAGTATTACAGGTTTTTCAGTGTAAAAGAGTTAAACCACAGCACGAAATTATTTTTGCAACTTCTGTATTAAAAAAAAAAAAAAAGCCTTTGATGGATTTTGTTCTGTTTTGCACTATTTTAACATTGTAGAAGACTCAATATTAGCATTGAAATACAGATTTAATGGTATTAAGGGGAAAAATAAGGAGGTGGGGCTAGGATAGATTTTCTTCCATCTGTCACCATTTTTTTTAATAACAAAAAGGAGGGACTAACTTATTTCAGATGTGGTAAGAGTCTTCTGTTCATTGGTTTGGCTCAGGATCACAAGTCACCCCCAGCCTTTTGCATGACACAGGTGACATGTGCATGTGTCACCAGGCTTAGGGGCCAGAGGGGGAACTTGAACTGTATCAGAAGGGAACCACTCCACTGCCCTGACAATGCTTATGGAAAGATGAAGTATCACCTCTGAAATGGTTGATTAGAAGGTTTTATACTAATGCACTTGGTTTTTTTTCTCTGCACAGGTGTAACTCACGCCATGGGAGGCAGAGGAGGCCTGAACAGAGGAAACATTAGTTAAATGAAATGTAAAGGACTTCCAGCTGTGTATACAAAATGCCAGTTTGCCTGTGGTTGCTTAGTGTAATGAAGCCAGAGCTTGAAGCAGCATTTTAATACTTAGAGTTGTGTGCACATATTTCAATGTCTTTTATTAATAAAATTAGAAAAAACATTGACATCCAAATGGCATCTTGATTTAAACTCCTCTGCTGTGCCTCACTTGCTGGGACAGTTGTACCAGTCTTTGGTTACAGTCTTTCCTGTGAGAGCAGTAACAGGTCGTGCTATTCTTTTGCCAATATCCAAACTGTAGTACCGATCTGAAAGGAAGAGAGGTCACAATTAAATTCCAGAGACTGCATTTCATTCATGAGAAGAATTCACAAATTCAAGCCTTCATTTTAATGTCACTTAGGCCTGGATAACAGATTTACTGTTCCATGTGTTGGAGCTGAGAGGCTCCAACAATAAATTTCTGCCCTCAGCTTTATTTTTCAGGTGCCCTTGGTTGCAGTAAGTTTTATGGCATGGCTAATAATTAAATTTGTCCCAAGAGCAGGAGCAGGAAAGAATGTTCTTGTGTTGCTAGAACACAGAAATAGTCTTAACAATTTGGAAATCAAACTAACTACATCCACAACAATCCTGCACTCACTACAGAAGTGGGAAGTCCATAGTCCCTGAGTGTGAATGAGCCTGTGAGGCTGATTCCTCCAAGGTGAGGAATTGGATCTTACTGACAGGGCCTTTAATAGCCTGTATTTAGGTGTGGCTTGTTCTTAGAGCTATTTAGTTTTTGGAAAACGAGGAATGCTTATATGGGATCCTGACTGGGGGAATGAGTCTACCTAATTTAGGATCACAAATAATTTTTTTGAGCTAAGTCAAGTGGTTCATCTCTCTCCTTTTTGTGTTTTGTCAGAAACATAGTTCCATAGAAGCCATTTAAAAACTTGCTGTGTTGTGATCCAAAGACTTCAGTCTATCATTAACATGATCCTTCATTTAATGTTTGTCCCTTTACAAGGCTGAACTCACTGGCAATGCATTCCCCAACTGGCTGCTTTGAACCTCTGTATTTCATTGCTGCATGTTGTCCTGTAACTACTGATTTTTAATAGAAACATCTCTTGATTATGGGCAACATTTTAATTCTCAGGACTTTGTAGTAGTGCTGAAAGTAGGACCACAAATGACAACAGGAGCACCTTTCTTCCCCACCCCCATATCTTTTGAGGTCTATAGTGATGTTACTTACTGTAAGAGAAGGCATAGTAGTCGTAGCCATCGGGCTTGTTCTGGTTGGGCACGGAGAGAGTCGAGTGGACAACTTTGGGGAGCCCTCTCCAGTACGTTGTCATTTGGATTTCCTTGCGCAGAACTCCTGCAAGCAAAAAGAACCCTCCATGAGGAGCTGTGGCACTGTGTCCCCTACAGCCATTGAAACCTTCCAAACACAATGTTGTGTCAGAGGTGAAAGCATCTGTGTAAGAGAGCCTCAGTGCCACTTACCAGAGGGGTGGGAGTTGATCCTGACGGTGCGGATGACGGTCGGCATTCGCACAGCACGCTGGAAGCGCCGCCGGATGACAACTCTGGGGACAAAGGCTGGGTATCTGATGGTGACCCGGGCTCTTCTCTGACACTTCTTGGCTGGTTCTTGTCTGTACACATACTGCTGCATGTTCCCATCTAAAACGCGTTTGTTTTGTTAGTTTGAAAAAATAAATACCTCCCCAAAAAAACACCCAACCACCAGGTTGATCAGATATGAAAATGTCATTATATTCCTATCACACACAGGGAATCAATAACAACATTCCTCTGGTGGCAGTACAGCATTCATGTAAGATAAGGAAATTACTTTAAAATAGGAAATCAGAAACAGAGACGGAAATTTCCACACATAGTTATGAACTAGCAAGATTGAAGCTTTTCCTTCCCTAATTAAGATTATAATAGCTTTACCACCAGATAAAACTTATTTCAACGTTCAGCTACTACAGTGCTAGATTCCTGGATTCTCACCCTTACAGATCTGGTTTAAAATGCACTGAAATACCTCCAAGTTCTAGAACAAATTTCTAAAAGCTTCAGGCTATTTTTAAGCACCTGGAACACTGGCATAATTTGTGTTTCTGTGTTTGAAAGAAATTATAGGTCTTGGGTCAAGAGAAACAGTGAATTCCTGACTAAGGCAAGTCAAGCACCTTTTGATGTTTCCTGAACTTCAGGAATACAATACATACCTCTTTTGATGAAATAAACAGATTCTGGTCTGTTGTTGTATCTTGCCACAGGGAGGGTTGCTACTATTCTCCCACTTAACCCTGCAAATCCAGTTGCAAGAGGTTTGGGATAGCCATTATCCATAACACCATTAGTGAAGCGCCAGTACAGGGGACCCTGAGCATTTAAGGGAAAAAAAAAAAAAAAAAAAAAAAAAAAAAGCTTTAAAGGAAGTTAATTCCTGGTAATTCAACTGCAAAACAAACATGAAGAATAATCCATAAATAAGCACTAGCACTTTGATAACTACATTGTAAATCTGACTGGAATCACTCCTACATCCATACAAATGGGATAAAACTACTACAATTTTATTAAGTACCTCCTGCAGCCTTTTAACCTTTAAGTAGGGTTGGAGGATCTTAGAAGCTAATTTTTAGAAGCCCCTAAAGAGGGGCTACCGAACAAAGGGGTTTCCTTTCTAAATCCCTTAAATTTTCATAGATATAACAAGTAGCTTGAATTCCAGGACTGAGTGATTTATTGGGAAGTAACTGCATGACAGCTTTAATGAGACATGTGCATTTCATTAGCATTTTATTTCAGGTTGGGAAACACACTAGGAATAAGTTTAGGCAAGCTTTTTCCCCAGTACCCAATCTGAACCTCCCCTGGTGCAACCTAAGGCCCTTTCCTCTCATCCTGTTGCTGATCCCTGGGGGCAGAGCCCGACTCCCCGCGGCTGTCCCCTCCTGTCAGGGAGCTGTGCAGGGCCACAAGGTCCCCCCTGAGGCTCCTTTTCCCCCGGCTGAGCCTCCCCAGCTGCTCCTCGTCAGCCTCGCCCCACCCTGCCGGCCGGGACCGCTCCCACCTTGATGAAGAAGGTTTTCCCATCGCAGTTGCACCTGGAGAAGACGGAGTCGATGGGCGAGGGGATGCCCCAGCCGTCGGTGATCCGGCGGGGGTTGGTGGTCGGAGGGGTCCGGCCGTTCAGCAGCCAGTAATAGTGACCTGGAGGGGGGGACAGGCGTCAGGGGTGCCGGGGACAGCGAGGGGACATCGCCGTCCTGCCCCGGGGGACGAGGCTGAGCCGGCCCCATGAGGGATCTGGGGACTCGGACTCTGGGCTCGGGAGAGTTTCGTGAGGGGTGAGGGGCAGCGGGGGCGAGTGAGGGAGGAAAAAGAGGAGGAAGAGTGACGAGGCAGGTGAAGGAGGAGGACGTGAAGATGAAGGATTGGGTTCGGGAAAGATGAGGGAGAAGGAGGAGGCTGGGGCAGGTGAGGGAGGAGCTCCGGCGCTGTACGGAGGAAGGAGGAGGGCCGAGGCCGGAGCCGGAGCAGGTGAAGGAGGGCCGGGGCCGGGGCCGGAGCCGGTGCCGGTGCCGGTGAAGGTGAAGGAGAAGGAGGGCCGGGGCCGGAGCAGGTGAAGGAGGGCCGGGGCTGGGGCCGGAGTCGGTGAAGGAGAAGGAGGAACGGGGCCATGCCGGGGCAGGTGGAGGATGTTCGCAGCAGTCTCACCTCGGAAGACGGCCAGGGTGCCATTGGGCAGGGCCACCATGCCGTCCGCTGGCTTGCCGCTGCACAGGTCCTTCTCGTCGTTCTTCTCTGCAAAACACAGCCAGGTAGGTTTGTTTAAGGATCCACAGGAACAGCCTTAGCTTTCCCCTCGGTCCCGCTGTTGGGCCAGGGATTAATTCCTCATCGGGGACGTGTTCTCGGGAAGTTCGGCTCTGGTGCAGCAGTACTGAGTGACCAGGTGTGGGTGTCTTTGCTTATTGCCACCTAAGTGCCTGTAATTCAGGAAAACACCTACAAACACCTCGTATTCTACGTGCTCTAGGACTTTATTGTTCCTTTAAGCTGGTTTAGCAGCTTCTCTTCCCTTTTGTTATTTCTTTAAAAAAATAACTAAAATAAGCATTTATGGTTCCTTTCAGTTAAACATTTTTATGCAGTTAAATACAAAGGAACGATGAATCTCTTTTAAATTGAAATTCAAGTATTTTGCATCTAAAGCCCTAATTTTTCCCCCCAAAATATCTTTCAGTATCTGATTAAAAAATTGCCCAAGAACCTGCAGACTATGTCCAATTAAAATAAAGAAAGGGCATGAAAAAGGCTGTGGCAGAAAGCAAGGCAAGAGACTTCTTGTGTGTTTTATATTATATTTTTAGAAGGTGGCTACAAAACACCAGGTTAGAGGTACCATGTGGGAGGATGGATATGCAGCCTGACTTCTAGCAATTTTTTTCAGGGGATTTTGAAATTTGTCATTTTTTCCCTTGACTTTTTGTCTGTTTGTATCTTCTATGATAGCAAACAGGATGAGGAGAAACTTATAGCAAACAATTTTCAGTAGGACTAATTACTGCAACCAATTAATTTAGATTGTGTTCTAAACTACCTGGAGGATTTAATTAACTCCACAGCTGCTGATGCTTTCATACCTGCTGGAATGCACTTACCTTGTGTTTCTCCAGGGATCATTGGCAGGTCCCCAACTTGTATTAAAGGCTTGTTTATCTCAGGTTCTTCTTTTGCTGGCAGAGTTTCAGGTTCAGTTGGGTGTGGCTCTTCTGTCGTCTCAGTGACCTCCTGGAAATGTATTGTTGGCTTGGATGTCCCATTAAACACAAGATACATTTCTTCTATTGTGTCCTTTTTATCCCTTGTTGTGGTTTCTTTGGTAACTGTAGTTACCTCTTCTTTGGCAGTACCAGGGGCCTTTTCAGTGACACCTTCCATTTCTTTTTCAGGTGTGGTGCCCATTTCTTTAATGGTTGTTACTTCTTTTTTACCAGCTGTTGTCATCTCCACAATAACACAAGCAGCACCTGGGCTCTCTTTGTCTGCTGCTGGCCCTGCCTGCTCAGCGTCTGTAGTTGTCTCTGTTTCATTTGGTGTTACAGCCTCAGCAGGCTGAGGAGTTGAATCTTTGATGGTTGTTACCAGCACAGTGGGATCGGGCAAGGGAGCTGTGGCTGCTGTTGTAGCAGTCTTGGTGTCTGTAGAAGTTGTTTCTGATTCAGCTGCTGCAGTGACAGGTTCTTTGCCCATAGGAGCTGTGTTTGGAAGGTCATCCATACCTTTAGGAGAATCACCTGGTTTAGCTGTTGTCACCATAGCTACAGTAACTGTATCTTTCCCAGTTGCAGCTGTGAAAATGTCTTTAAGCAGAGTAGTTCTATCTTTCTTTGGTGTTGTTGTCTCCTTGTTCTCAATTGTGGTATCTGAAAGCATTGTCTCTGCCCCAGCTGTGGGGGAGTCCATCCCAACAGTTGTGGGTTCAGCACTTCCCGGAGAAGCCGTGGCTTTACTGGCCTCAGGAGCTGCAGGGATGGTCGGAGAGTCAGCATCCTCTGCTTTAGGGGTGGTGGGAGAGTCTGCCTTGGTTGTAGTTTCTTCTGGGGTTGTTTCTTCAGATTTGGGGGTGGTGGCAGGAGAGTCTGCCTTGGTTGTTGGCTCCTCTGGGGTTGTTTTTTCAAGTTTGGGGGTGGTGGGAGAGTCTGCCAAGGTGGTTGTCTCCTCTGGGGTTGGCTCTCTGGGTTTGGTCGTTGTTGGCTCCTCTGGGGTAGGTGTAGTCGGCTCCTCTGGAGTTGGCTCCTCTGGTGCTGGTGTTGTCGGCTCCTCGGGGGTTGTCTCCTCTGGTGCGGGCGTTGTCGGCTCCTCTGGTGCGGGCGTTGTCGGCTCCTCTGGTGCGGGTGTAGTCGGCTCCTCTGGAGTTGGCTCCTCTGGTGCTGGTGTTGTCGGCTCCTCGGGGGTTGTCTCCTCTGGTGCTGGTGTTGTCGGCTCCTCTGGGGTTGTCTCCTCTGGTGCTGGTGTTGTCTCCTCTGGTGCTGGTGTTGTCGGCTCCTCTGGGGTTGTCTCTTCAGGCGTGGGGCTGGTGGGGAGCTCGCTATCTGTTGCTTCTGCCTCGGTGGCGTCGGGGGTTGGGTCCTGTGTTGGGGGCAGGTCAGTTGGGTCCATGTCAGTCAGTGGCTCCTCTGTGGCATCAGGGGTCACATCTTCTGTATCCGGAGTGGGAGGGTCACCCTCCGTGGCTGGTTCCTCTGTGGCCTCAGGGGTTGTCTCTGCAGGTTCTGTGGTTGGCGCAGGAGTGGTCACTTGGATTTCAGGATCTATAGAATGAATATAAATTTGGTTCAGCTGCTTGAATTGCCGTGCGGGTAGGTATTTTGTGTAATGTATTACACCCATTAGCTGTTGGTGCTTCCTTTGGAATAGCAAGTCCTTTTTTAATGGCCAGACTAACCTGGACCAGGTGAAATGGGAGTTTCTTTTGTGTGTACGGAATTTTGCAGCAGCTCAGCTCAGTTTTAGGTGATCCCTTTTGGCCCATCTGGCACTGCCCCAGGTTCTGGGTTTAGTTTGGTGCCTGTAGGTACAGCTGCCTAGGGTTTCCTGCTGCTTTCATGGAAAGGAAGCCACTTTAAAAATAGTCCCTCTAACAGAACACTTCTCAGTCTGTTATTTTTATTTATTCCACTTCCCTACATTATAACTTAGTCTGCACCAACAACCTGGAATTGGCAGAGTGAGGTAGGGAAGCAGGATGAAAATAATTCCTGAACACAGAGCCCTGACTGCATCTTCTGCTGTATCTTTGTTCCTTGGGTTGTTTTCCTCACTGTGATGTATGGATTTAAGGCTCTCTTTACTTGTATTTATAGTTACATTGATATGAGTCAAATTGTTATTCAGCAAGAGGAAGAGTAAATGCTTCTGCATTTCAATCTCTCCCTAAGTGTTCTCTCTCCAAGATTTTGCAGATTAGTTCTGCTTTCACAAATGTTGTGTGTTTGTATGAGCAGAATATTGCAGAATAGGTTTCACTCCCATCCCATGTATCTGAAATACCGTAAGCTAGCTGGGATCCTGTTAATGGTTGTTTGAATTTATTTAATTTAATTTCATTTAACCCACTATATGGTTTTTAGGGTTTGTTTGTTTTTTGGTTTTGTGGTTGTTTTTTTTTTGTGGGGGGGGGCGGGTGTTGGTTTTTGGTTTGGTTTGTTTTTTGGATTTTTTGTAATAGGAGATTGGAACAGCAGAAAATAAGTATTCCAAATCTAAAACAAAAAGAAGAAGGGGAGAGGATTAAAATATTGACTGACTTGTAGTGTCTTTTCAATTGTGCTTCAAGTTCAAACTGGTCTCCTGAGTTATCACTTCAAATGTTGTAACACAGTACCAAAGAACACAGGAAAGCAGCATATTTTCCAGTCAGAATAAATAAATAAATGTGTTCTCTGAAGCAGCGTAAGGCCTGGCTTGATTGAAGCTAAAGGAACCTGCTTGGACATTTTCCTGTGCTGCCAGTTCATCACTGTCCCACCCTTCCTGTTCCAGCCACGGATGCCATCCAAGACTGACAATGGTCTGTACCCTGTTTTTGGAGGATGTGTGTGACAATCCAATAGAGACACAGGAGACATCACCTCTCTGCACCATCTGTGCTGAGTGAACTCTCCAAAGTCCTGAGGGCTCAGTGAGGTAATCAGTATATAAACCAAGTGCTTCCAAGCTTGCTAACTGTCTGGTAATGTCTAGGATCAGCTTTCTATTTCTAGGGCAGGAAAATGGTCTTTCATTTTCCTTCAGGTAACACCCATCCTGGTGCATCCATATGCTTGCCTACCTTCCACTGGTGACTCTTCCTCATCTGTGGAGGACCTTTTAGATTTGTTGTCTGGAGGAGTCTCTGGGGTTGGCTTTTCTGTGTGTGCTGAAAGAGAGAAGTGCTCCCATTAACAGGTTATTTTATCTTTATAGGTGCTTGGTGTCAACTGTATAAGAGTGATTACAAAATTTCAGTGACCAACTTCCATTTAAAACTGTTTCTTTTCATTTATGGGATTCTTTACACAAATATTTGTGTGAAAAACAGCACAAATACCCTTTTGATCCTGAAGTGTTTAGTCACAGATGGGAGCAATATTTTTCCCAGAAGTTTGAGGTGAGGCATTATTAGCTAATGGCAATTTTGAGGTGGAAAAGAAATGAATTCTGAGCAGAGCTCTATGTTCTGAAAATTTGTCTTATTTTTTTTTCACTGCAGATGACTTTTTACTACTTGACTTTCATTACAGATAACTAACTCTACAGATAACTCTAGTGGAAATAGGAGAGCTGTCACATTAGCCAAGAATTTGCTTTGATAATCCCCTTGCAGCTCTTCAGATGTGATAGTTCTACACAAGTGATTGTTTTGGGGAGACATTTTGAAATAAATGGTTTCCTTGAAGGAGACAGGAGCTACAAAGCAGGCATGGACCAAGGAAACAACATAGGTATTAAGCTAACTCATAGTAGGCTGAGTTTTTGCAGAAGTGGGTGGTTGTGTTCAGATTTTTCAGCTCTGAAGAGTGAATGGAAATTGAGTTGCATCCAGTAAGAGCCAGATAATATTTTGTAATTAATTGTTAGCCAAATTGTACAATTTGAAATCAGCTATTTGCATAGCCTTGTAGAAGGAACTTGTTAATTGTGAAGGAAATGCGATGGAGTTCAGGGAACTGGCCAAATTATTTTGGTCCAACCAAGGGAGCTGGTAACTGCTAGAGGTGTGTGTAATCAGCTTTTTACAAAGGAATGGGATTTTTGTCTCCAAGGGATAACCATGGTGTCAAAATATTTACTTTCACAGTGAGCTAGTGCTCAAAACAAGAAAGGTTGGGTATTGCACTATATCCTGAAACCTTTATTGAGGAAGAGAGAGAAATTGTAGTTGAAGCTGAATGACTCCTTTGAAAGCCAGTTGTTGGGGAGGGGAACGTTTTGCTTATGTGTGTACATGTATTCAGGGAATAAAGAGCTTCTGGAGGACAGGGAAGATAACAGTGAGCTCTGGATATTCATTGTACACTTGGCTTTACTGTACAGAAGAAAATGTTCAGAGGATGCTAAAACAGCAAATTTATTCCAAGAGGTTTAACAGATTTTAGTTATTCACACACAGTATAAGTAGTAAAATACTGAGTACAGTGGTTTGGGGGATTTCTGCTGGATCTTTTTCTGACCAAAATTGATAGCAAAGTTTAGTACAATACAGAAGAAACTCTCTAAGATTAGGAATGGTTGGTTAATTCTTCATTACATTTTAACTGAAGAAATGAAATGGTTTAACAGTGTTTTGTGAGTGTTTGGGTGTGATAAACTCAGCAGAAAGAGGGAAACACTAAGCAGCCTCATAAGCAGCAAATTCACCTCAATATGCTTCCAAGACACTTCTCTAGACATTCAGTCAAAAGTGCTGGATACAGACTCTATTTTAGCCTAAATTACTGTGCAATTGTGTGGCAAAGCCAAGCCACCATTCCAGCACCTGGGGACCACTTGGGTGAAGAGAACCAAATTATAATTGTGACTTATGTTGTGTGTCATACTGCAAGCTTTGGGAATTGGCTGCCTTGGAGGTGGGCTGCTCTGTGGATGCAGTGATCCAAAGCCAAGCCACACTTATCAAGTGTGATGAAGAAATTAGTTTAAGTCTGTAGGTACCAGAAAGTTTAAGGACATGATGAAACTGTTTTTTAGAGTTCATTTGCTGGTGTTCTTAAAGCTACATGAGGGCGGGACTGCACCTCCAGATCTGTGCCTTTGTGCTCAGCTGAAACCTCACCAGGCTCTGCAGAAAAGGACAGAACAAAAGAAGTGACTGCAGGTCAGTTTGATTCTGCCCTGGACTGAACTTGCAGCCTAAAGGTAAAATATGTGTTTTCTTAAATTTTTTCTTCCTATACTGTGAACACATGGCATCCAGTTCCTCCAACCTGCCCCACAGGATGGGTTTCTGTGTCGGGCTACTCTTCCCATATTGGATTTGGATGGGGAGAGAATGTAGGATGTGCATCTCTAATATGCTGCCAGTGACTGTGGTGGCCCCAGGCAAGTGGTCTGTAGGTCCAGGTAGTGTTATCCCAAGGCACAGAGTAGCCATTCCCCACTTTTGGATGGGTGGGGATTTTAAGGGAGTTGTTTTTAGAAGATGAACTCACCTTTTTATTGCAATTTATTTATTGATCTGCCTAGTGGAAAAGGCCCTGGAGGTGCTGGAGACAGTGGCTAAATGTGAGCCAGATGTGCCCAGGTGGGCAGGGGGCCAATGGCCCCTGGGCTGTGCCAGCCCTGGTGTGGGCACAGGCCCAGGGCAGTGGCTGTGCCCTGTGCTGGCCCTGCTGAGGGACCTCGAGTGCTGTGCCCAGCTCTGGGCCCTCTTGCCAGAGAGACCTTGAGGGGCTGGAGCGTGTCCAGGGAAGGGAACGGAGCTGGGGAAGGGTCTGGAGCACCAGGAGCAGCTGAGGGAGCTGGGAAAGGGGCTCAGCCTGGAGAAAAGGAGCCTCAGGGAGGCCCTTGTGGCTCTGCACAACTCCTGACAGGAGGGGACAGCCGGGGGGGGTCAGGCTTTGCTCCCAAGAACATGGGATAGGACAAGAGGAAATGACCCCTAGGAGCACCAGGGGAGGTTTGGGTTCCCAGGCTGCCCAGGGCAGGGGTGGAATCCCCATCTCTTGAGGGATTTAAAAGCTGTGTGAATGTGGCACTCGGGACATGTTTTAGTGGTGGCCTTGGCAGTGCTGGGGGGATGGTTGGATATAATGATCTCAAAAGGTCTTTTCCAAACAAATCTGTTCTGATTCCCCACCTTCTCTCATTGAATTCTGTTACTGATGTGCAGACCTTATCTTTACACACAGTATTCTGAGTAAGGGCTCTGACAGAGCGTGGCTAATGGCAAAAGAGCCTAATGTAAAATACAACTTTAACCTCAGAACTCACATCTTGGTTGTGGCTTCCAGGATATCTACCTGTATGTTTCCATAAAGTGTTCATGCTTGAGAAATTGGCCAATTTGTTTGTGAAATTAGGTTTTGTTATTTTTGTTCTGTTTTGTTTTGTTCTGTTTTCCGTTTTTCAGTTGTTACCAAAGCCCACACAGTTTTGTTTATGGTAAAGCACCTCTGCTTAAATATTTCTTTGAGAAAAAGACAGAGAAATGTCTTACCCTCTTTACAGTGCTTGACGTAGTCTGGGCAGCATTTTCCGTACCGCTCGCAGTCGGCGTCGCAGTCGCACTCCCTGCCCCTCTCGAAGGCTTCGAAGCAGCGTCCCTCGCAGGAGGCGGCTGTGGAGGCAGAGCAGCACCGTCAGCCTTTGGGCCAGCTCGTGTGCAACGCTGGGACCTCTCTACAGTGAAGTCGTTGGCTCGAGCTGGGGCCAAGAGCAGCTCCATAAAATCAGGCTCTTATCTTGGTCTGATCCAGGATTTGTCTGTAATGTGGGGTTTGGATCAGGCAGCGCCGTGAAGGGCACTGTGCCATGGCAGTGACCACTGGATTGAGAGTGCAATAAAACCTGACCGCCGCGTTCACTTTAGCCAGGTCCCACCGTAGGAGGCTTCTGCTTCCCCAACCACAGAGCGGTGATCTCAACAGTGATATTTAAATTCTGGGCTGGGTTTGCAGGAAGGTGTTCACCAGGGTATCCCTTTACAACAAGAATGATGTGTCTACCAAAGTATTTCTGAAAAATAATTCACCTAATTAGGTCACAACCGAGTGGTTGTGACCTGGTGTGTCCAGGCAAACACTGCAACCTAGTGTGAGCAGGTTAGCCAAGTTACCCCAAGAGACCAGTTTGGAACTGTTTAATACAGTTCTTTAATTATTAGTACTAAAGGACTATATACATGTTTTGACATGATTTTAATATTTCATGTTTGGTTAACTTCTGAAACTTCACTGACCAAACTGCTATTTGATATCAAATTTCTAACCATGTTGTGTTAGAAAGAGTGTGCACAGCTATTAGGCTTCAGAAAAAGCACTTTCTCTATGTAGGTTTCTATTAAAGTCATTGTCTCTGTGGCACACAAGGCATAAAATCATGTTTTACAGTTAAATCACTATCAAGAAAAATTAGAATTGCTGTATAGGCAGATTCTGAACATCTTTGGATTAGTGCAATTGTGGAATCAGTGTTGATGCCAGTGGATCCATCCCACATGCACAGGTGAGAATTATTTTTATTATCTTAGGGTAAAATTTATTCAGAAATAATGTCTGTCATTTCTGTCATTTAGTCAGTGTTGATTCCACACTCACTGGGCAACAGTCCTTAAGCAGACTGCCTGCATCCTTTCAGGATGGCACCTACTGTGCTTGCCTGGACTCACTGATTTAGAGTAAAAAAGGAAAGACTTCTCTAGCCTTAAACTTCTGGTTAAATGTTGTGCAGAAGCCAGAATACCTTTAGAATCTGACCCACAATGAATAAATAACCTTCATAATTAAAATGCCTCACTTTACATCTTCAGCTGTGAGAAATGCTGATGTCCCCCCACAAAGCTAAATGAGGATAGGGAAGACTGAAGGGCAAAGTGTCCCCAATGTGTGTCAGGACAGCAGAACTGGAATTTTAGGGAATGCTAGGTCTGCATTTTAAACAACACTCAGTGGTGTAGCTGATTCTGAGAAGTATTTGTTATTCCTGTAATTCTACTGGAACCACAGTGTAGCGAAACAAACTACTGCTATCCAAATCACTGACATTTCTGACACTGGTGATTGCTAAGAAAATGCTTTTAATGCTCAGTAAAGCAATAATCTGGTTTTATTTACATTGTGCAGTTTTGCCTATAAATAAGGCATAAATTAATACTCATCCAAACACCTTTTCCAGTAGACTCTGGACATGGTTCTGATCCAGAGTAAATTTCTGTCCATGGAAGGACACCCTGGCTTTGGATTAGACCCCACAGCATCCACACTTCTTAAATTTGAGTTGGAATATGTCAGAATTTCTTTCTGCAAAACCCTAAATTGGCTTTTAACAATTTTTTTCTTTGTATAAGAGACAGACGCATACAGTACGGATGCACTAAGGAGTAGAAAACAAACAGTTTTTGCTGGTCTTGCTTAGTTCTGCTTTTGTAAAAAGCAAAATTCTTTGCTTGGCAATAACCTGTGGATACACAATTTTCTTTGGATCACAAGAGGTTATCCTGAATATTTGAGGGGAGCAACAATACATGTATGAGCGGGAACAAGGACACAGCAAACCAACAGACATTTAAGCATTCAGAGAGGAGACACTGGTGTGGTAGGGGGCTGGAAGTGGAATTTGAGGAGAGGAACTGGCTGTGTTTGGGAACTTACCCACTATGCAGACTTTCCTGAAGTCAGGGCAGCACTCCATGTAGTGGTGACAGTTAAAATCACACTGGCAGTCATGCTCTCTAGAATACCCTGCCCCACATCTCCCTGTACAGCTCGATACATCTAAAATCACACAACACTGGTGTAAGCAGTGCCCAACCACAACGGTCCTTAAGGTAATGCTGGATGGAAAAGGACTAAAGTTTCTCTCTTTTTTTCCTATAGAATGTGGTTTCCTCACTCAGTACTGAAGAAGCTGAGGGCCTGGTGTGACCCCTCCTGAAGGTGTGGGGAGCAGAGGTTTGCTCTGAGGCAGCCTGAGGACCACCAGCATCGTGTATTCAGGTTAGAGGGGTCTTCCACTGAGATAATTTAACACTTTTCTTCTGAAAACTAAGGAATCCTTGAGTATTGGTTCTGTAGTATGACCACAGGCTTCCAAACTAGCCCCTTAGACAGTATATCAGCTTTGCTGATTTACTCTCCAATTTGATTCACCTTCTGTATGATAATAGGTGTGCATCTGCACACCCATACCTGACTGACTCCCTAGGTATTTGATTTTTACTGTTGGTAATGCTGTTCCTAATAACCCATCTAACCAGGTGAGCTTGCAAACTGGAGAAAGCTGTCATAATAAATACAGGTCCCTGAAACCATTTTTATTGGAAGTTTCCAATCTGCCTACTCCCTACACTATATTTTTTCCCTGATGCCAGGAAAGAATTTGATATCAGCTCTGAAGTTAAGAACAGTTGGGGTCTAGCCCTGTAACTCCTATGAAGTACATTTTGTTAATTAGAAGATTATGTACTAGCACACTAACAAAAAGTTCATCCCCACAATGGCTTTACTGCCAGACTGCTGGGAAATGCTGGATAACAAGAAATGGTGCAGATAACAGGTGGTAAAACAAGACATCAGGAGGTGTCTTGCTTTAACCTGTGAGCATTCCAGCTTGGCAGTGCCTTGCTACCTTCTGCTGCCAAATCAGATATTCACCCTGCAACCCTCCCCTTCCTCTTTGAAATCTCTGCTAACACAACCAGCTAACAGCTTCTTCTGGAAATGAAACATGCAGGACCACAAGTGAAGCGTCCCTAAATGCAAACAAAGAAGCTGAACAATCAGCAAGCCCAAACAGATAATCAGGTGAAACATTGAGAAACAACAAGGAAATAACATGTAACACAACACAACACCAAAGACAATTTCTAACAGCACACACTCCTCGTGTGTGTGTCTGAAGGAAGAGCATGGGATAACAAATATTATATCTATTACATATACACTGATTTTAAAACAGTACTTGTAATGCTTGTTACCACTTTGCCACAAATAGAAAAGTGGAATGAAGGAATAACTGGAGACATTAATGGACTTGAGTTACTGGGCTATTAATACAGCAGTTGAAAAGACAAAATTGACATCTTCCTTTATGGATATATGCCCAGTATGTTGAACCCTTCTTCCTTTATGGAAAGAAAGAAAGTCCAGTAGCTATATGGATAATATGTAGTAGTCTAATAGTTGCACCTCTTCATTCATATAAGTTTATGACTTGTAAGTTACGGAGTTACTTGTAAGGAAAATGCCTGAATGGTCCTGGTTGCTGTTGGCAAAAGTCTTGATTTTTGCTGAAACTGGTGGGAAGGCATCAGTTATCAAGGGGTCAGTGTAAGGTCACATCTGGCATGGGGTGTGCCCTGAGGAACTTCTCAGATACAGGACATTGTGCCTTCTGCTATCAAGTAGTAATAAATCATTTTCTACCAGCAAGTAATACCTAGTGTCATCCCCCTGAAAATTTGAGAGCTATTAGAGAACTGCAACAGCACAGGATTTGCTAGAGGGCATGTTCTGCTTCACCATAACAGTGTTACTTTAGTAAGGAATCAATTATAGAGCTTGAAGTATCATTAGACAAGTAATTCCCAAAATTTGCCTCAGTGGAGTAATAATGGTGCATTTAATGGGAAAGCACTTAGCAAGGTAGAGACATTTCTTTCCCTTAACTTATTGAAATATTTCTAGCCAACCTTTGTGGATATTCTCATGTTAGATTCTTCCTCAATCAAACTGCAAATCACTAGGGCTAAATACATTAGTATGAGAGCAAGAGGCTCTGTAAAGTGTCTACAGAAAAAGTAATAGATTCATACGCATTTTGCATTACATTTATATTTTTATGTTATTCCTCAAAAAAAGAGGACCATGCTACTCTAAAATTTATTTATTAAAATATTCAGTGATGATAAAACTGAATTATACTTCCTATTGGAATAAATTTCTAGAACATAGTATTTTTATGAAGATGCATTTGAAATATTCTTAATGTGTGTCAGGCACACGCTCCTAGACACTCTCCCTTCAGCTTTGTGTGTTACAGTACCTTGAGAAGACACTTCTGGAATCAAGGACAGTGAAAGGACCACCAGGGATAAGCAAAGTATGTTCCATATGATCATAACTTTCAGGTACGACATCATTCCTAAAAAGAAATAACCTCACATCACTATCTGCAATTCACGTAATTCATAATTTAAAAAATGCTGTGCATATCTTTATATATAATAGACTAGTTTGATAAAAATGTAAAATAAATAATAAAACTTGGAAAGGAAAAATTTCTGATTTAGAATTACTCCATAAATTCCTTCTTGATTATTAGTCAATTAGCCATTAAATTCTGTAGTAAGATTATAGAAATTCATTATTAACAAGTAATAGAAATAAATTTTTTCAGAATTCTATTACATGAAGACTACAGTTGTCTTCTAACATGGGTACACTTCAGCACAACAATGTTTAGAGTTATAATACTGATAAATGAAAGTCTATAATAAAACCAAATACTGACAGAACATTAGTAATTCAGCAACATAATTTTATAAACCATAACCTAAAATTGAAATATGTCAAATGGAAATTAGACTAAAAGTAAATCTTTCATCCAAATGAAAACTTTGGATTTTCTGTCCCAGTTCTCCTATTGAAGAAGAGCTCTGGGTAGAGACAGGTGTAGCACTTACCTAGCAGAGAGTGTGTCTGCTCCCAGGGCTGTTCCAGAGTCCTTATATATTGCTTTGGGGCTGTGCTGGGGTCAGGTAATTAGGCAGCTTGTTAAACACACCACCAATGACAGCTCATGACAGCAAACTTTCCACAGGGCTTGGAAGAGGGCCCGGATGACTAGACTAACACAACATCTGGAAAATACTCCCATTAAGAAAAACGATTACAGAAAAACTAAATAGGGACTTACTAGTCAAAACACATTTTGATTACTGAGAGAAATGAACAAATTGTCCTCAATGCAGCTGGAAGGCATTAGAGAGTATTGCAGAGCAATAAAAAATCATCAGAAGCAAATGCTGAGTGTATTTTCTTTCCTGTCAAATGGAGCTTAGGTGACAGTAGCGTGAAATGATGCAGTTTTATCTGCTACTGATGGTGTATCTTCTCCAAAAAGTTGAGAGCTAATTCATACAGACATAAGTAATTTACCACTTGCACTGAATATTTTGTACTTTCCCCTGAACTGAATGGAAACGCTGCCAAGGCATTGGCTAGAAATCAAAGAATTGAGTCAAATCACAAAGTTATTGAACATATGATATGTAAGACATCAAAAATGAATGAAAGAGGCCTTAATTGTTTTAATGGTCTTTGTGTTCATTGGTTCCAGATTTGGGATAGTGGAAATGGTCATTTGTAACTCTCAGAGACAAAGAAGGTTTTAACTGAAACTTTTACAGTCCTGACTGTTGGTCTTTAGGAGGGATCTGTTATTCAGAAATTATCCTAAAGGCCAGGGAACTTTAATACGCCTCCTTTATGATATTACTTAAGTCTCAAAGTAGTTCTGTTAACCCCAAAAATAAATATGGTATAGTACACATTGATTGCAGTTGAGGAAAGCACTTCAATGAGAATGAGTCTCTTAAGGAAAATAATGCAGAACAGGAGTGGGTTGAAACAAGTGTTTGAATGTTTCCCTCACTTGGTTCATTGACTGAACAGCTTTAGTAATTTTATGCTAGAATTTCTAATTTCTGTATTATCACAATAGAGAGATTTCCATTCAGTCTTTCTGCATTGTGTGCAGATGGAATAACTATTTACTTCAATTAAATGGAGTAACTATTACTTTACTTTGTGGGAAAGGGGAGACTGAGTTTTTATGGAGGTTATTCAAGGTCATACAAAAGAAATGTATATTACATAAAAGAAATGTATATTACATGTCTTATTATAAGAGTTTCAGGGCTGTCTTTAGTGGACTGTAAGCTTGATAAAGAAACCCTGGCTTGGGTAGAATGGTGCCTGTCTATGATTATTTGAAGCCTGGAGAAGAAGTACTTGTTAGAGTAGCCAAATAGCATCAACAAGATGAGAAGTTTCCTAGAAAAGTACTAAAATACTTAAAACTTAATTTATAATTTGATCAAGCGAAACATCTAAGACTGAATTAATGAGTGTATCCTTACTTTGAGATCCATGACATTGAGTAGATTTGTTGTCTTTTCCTGGTGCAGCTGTGAGTCCCAGTAAATACTGGGTGTCTACCTGAGGTGAATATATGTGTGTGTGTGTGTGTATATGACTCAATAAAAAAGCCCCAGAAGATCAAAATTATTATCATTTTTCTGTTAACATACCAGGGCTCAACTGAGTCATACAATTGGGTACAGATGCACTTGAAAAATGGGTACTTGTGACTGGCTGCTACCTTGTGTTGTGGATGTCCTTTTGGTAGGATTGTGTTTTTAATTTCTCTTCTGACTTGAACGTTTGGGCTGCTAGAGGTCACATGGAGTTGCAAAGTTTGAGTGAACAGAATTTCATAAGTGGATCAACAGGCTGTGAAGAGCACTTAAGAACCTTTAAATTGTAGTGTCACCGTGTCATTGAGATGGGTGGGCAGACAACACTCAGGTGGGGGCTGATCCTGACCAGCTTTTGCTGGTTTTCCCTTTGTTTTTAGGCATGGATTTTGGAATCCCGCTTTTAATTATTGTTATGGATTCTCATAGATGGCAAGAAAAGCATTCAGGGCACACGTGCTGGGCAGGGTGTGCTCCTGCTGCTGTACCCAGGTTGGAGTGCCAGGGAGAAGGGCCCAGATAGGAGTGGGGAGCTGCATGGGCAGGGGAGGGAGACCTCTGTCCCAAACACAGATATAACACAGGGAAAGCACAAAATGTTCCATCTCCTTCTTTTGATTTCAGCTGCCTTTAGGGAAACAAGACTCATTACATTTAGTCATCATTCCTGATGAGTAAATAAGGATACATGTCTTCACCAGCATTTTAATTTGTCCTAAAGAAGCACATGGGACCTAATATTGTGGTTAGTCACTCCAATCAAAAAGAGAGAACCTTATTTTTTATCTGATTTTTATTGCTTCACTTAATATCAACTGTCCAGTCATTTAATTTGGCAAGGCTTTCAGGCAAACGTAAACCCTTCATCAAACCTTGGCATGTGTATCCAAAATCTTATCTGCACTTCTAACTTCCTTAGTAGATTGCATTTTGAAAAAAAGAAGAGGTAAAGAAACGCTCTTCCTTTGCCTAGGTACTGCAATGATCCCAATCACAGCACAATTGCTGTTATTTTTTATTTCTGGATGAACAGATTCCTTACGCTGGTGCCCATGACCTGGCAGTGCCTTTTCAGGCCTTGGCTTTTCCACAAGCTCATCAGTCAGTCACATTTATGATAGTGGTCTGGGGATGTGATCATATCCACTGGGATCACATGGAAAATATAAGTCAGTGAATCCCAGACAACAGTTGTTGGGATGATCTGAGCCTGGTTTGACAGAAGCTTTACTGCTTTTTCAATTCCATCACTGATCCCCTTTGTAAACCCATTAGGATCCTCAAAATATCCTGTGACTTTTGGATGGACACTAAGTTACCTTGGGTGCTCTGAGTCCCTGGCAGGACTCGGGAAGAGCTGCTGGGCAATCCCAGCAGAAGTGATACAAACTGAGCTGAGCAAGAGGAAAGGGAAAAGGTATTTGGAGTAATGTTGTCCTGTTAAATACTCACTTATTAGTGGACCCTTATTTCACATAAAAGGAATCATAGAAGGAATGTAATTGTAAGTTAAATAAGAATGCTGGAGGTCTCACTGACATTAATAAGAAAAGTTATCAAGAATCACAGAAAACTTTTGGTCTTGCAGGAAGGATTGACAGACTTTTAGGGTTGGGGTCTTGGGGAGGCCAGGAAGGGGATGGTGTAGAGGAGGTAGAAGCTTCCATGTGGGAAAATCATGGGGTTACAGTTCTGGGACAACTGATAATTGATCAAAGGTGCTTCCTTGTCTTGCCTTCTACAGTCTGTCACTTTTTTTAAGAAAAAGGAATATTAACACCCTAGCTTTTCCATAGTTTACAAGTAGCAGTAGTAGTGCAATGAATTCTGCTGCACCAAGGCTCAAAATGCTCACATACATCATCCAGCTGATGTAAATTCAGATTTATTGTATTTCCAATTCTGAGAAAGATGAGAAATTTTTTTCAAGGTAAGAAGTGGAGAATCATATGTAAATATGACTTAGATATTATACTTGTTTTCACAGAAATCTCAGGTGAGCCCACAATGATAGGTGGAAGACTGGTAGAATCTGCCTGTCTGTATTATTTTTCTAGTACTGCCAATATCAGTAGCAGAAATCTTTTTATTTCAGAAAAGCCTTTAAACTCAGTGTAGCTGCAGACATTATGGAACATCTTGAAGAGCAGGAGGAGGAAAAGCAGATTTGCTGGCTGGTTACATCTGTGGATGTAATGGAGTTCTCTGGAGTTTTGGCCGTAAGTACATCACTTCTTTATAGATGTCATGATATTTCTCAGTGGGTCCTCACAAGTTTCTCTAAAATAATTTTAAAGGTTTTTATCCCAAAGCTAGTGCATGGATTTATCTGAGCTAGACTGGAATCTCATTTTATGTGGAATCTGTGCTCTGATTCATACAACAGGGCAGACTTAGTGGCAGAAAATTAATGGGTGAAATCTTTTGGGGAATGTCTGGCAGAACAGGACCTCATTAAATAAGAAATGTTGAACTTCTCTTTATTTTCCCCTACAGGAATTATTTCTCTCTGAACCTGGGCCTAGTGAAATGCTTATAGATTTGAATACACATAGCTGATAAAAGTGAGTTCTGTTTCATGAAAAATGTCTCTCAAAATGAAATATATTTCATATTGTTTGTTCTTTATTTATTCATACAGTGTATGGACTATTTCTACTGAATCATAACTGCAAGAAAACAAGAGGTTTAACTAAAGGAAGAAAAAAAGTCAAGTAGCATTTCAACATGAAGAATAGCTCAGGATAAGAAGAATGAAGAAAATTAACATGCAAAAGGTAAATCTAGGAGAGTAAGACATTATATATGTCTGTCTGTAATGTAGAAAATTATGTTTAGCAGTTCAACCAGAATTCTCAGTTCAACAGTAGGAGCTGAATTAGCACTGGCTCCTGGAAATCTTGGGAATTAAAGATGCAGACAATTCTTTCATTTACTTATGTCATTACCCCTTCAGGACAGATGGTAGAGACTCCCAGAAACAGTCACCATTTTTCATATGGCTGACAAATAACACCCTCAGTTTGGCAAGAGAGCAGTGAAAAGGTGTCAGACGGGTTTTTTCAGACTTGGTATGAAGTCATTTTCTTGTAACATGAAGAATCATCTTTCTTAGACATCACATTCAGGCTACCATAAATAATTCTTTTAACACATTTTCAAGCTTTCACTTCTTATGTACTCATGCAAAAATAATCTGTTTGAATGTGTGTATGCAAGGGGGGAAATCTTCCTGGAGCAGCATAATTGTACAGAAGAGAGATGAGTAGATTTTAATGTGTATGGCTCTGAGAAGAGAGTTTTCTTTCTTTTTTGGAACTTTACTGCTGTTGTTTGACTTCAGAGTGAGAACTGAATAGTAACTTCTGATGCACATTCAACAGGAAGCTCTCAAGGCTCAAATATCAAGCTCCTGTACAAAAAATTCTCCTGGCACTATTTAATACTGTATATTAATGGTAGTGGAGAAAGCTTTGGTTAAAGCTGCCAGAGGCTTGTGGAACTTTCTTTCTTTCTTACTGTAGACATTGTTTTACAGGAATCTGAATTATTTCTGTGAAATGTTCAGTGCTTCTGTCTGTTCAGATTCTGTTGTTTAAAAGACACCTACAGTGAACAAGGGTTGCCTGGGTGTTTGGCAGAGAGAATTGTCTCAGCATGATAAATCCCCTTTTCTTTGGCAGAGGTAAAAGTATTTAAAACACGAGAAAATGTTCATTTCCCCTTCAGTTTCAATGACCTTTGAAATTGTTGTATTCTCTTTTAAATGCTTTCAACATGAACTCTGCCTCTAAAAATCAGTTTTCTTCTCAGACCTCCTGCAATAGTTGCACAAGCACAGCATGATTGCAGTAGTTCCAAGCAGGGCACTGAGGTTCAGCAGCTCTGAGTTTGTACTTCAAATATAACAGGAATTTTCTGTCTACAAATGAAACTATTACAAATATGTAAATTTTTCAGCAAGGGTATGTTATATCAGAGGTTGTGCAGTGCTGATCTGAAGCAGGAACGATCTGCAGCAAAGTCAAAATTCTCAACCTTAACTGATGAGGGAAAATAAAATTCAAAAACTGCCAAGCTGTAGTTATTATCCAGCTATCTTTCTGATATATCAAGAAATTTCTAGGCATTGGCTTCTATTTGCCTATAATTAAGTCTGGGGTTACAGCTGAGTGTTAGGTTTTAGAATGCTAAAGCTGAAAGCCCCTGTAATTACCTGTTTCTCAAGGGCACCAGCATGGGTGGCAGGAGCTCCTTTCTGGCAGGGAGTTCCTTACCTGTTCTAAGCAGTTCTCCTTCACAGCATGGACTGCCAGCACTCACAGCTGTTGGGGCTGGGGATATGAATTAGTCCCCATATCCTTCCTGAGGGGTGACTATGCAGGAGGTTGGGGTCAAGGTCAAGCTTTGGAAAGATGAGCCTCTGTGGATTTTAAAAGTCCGAGGAGTTAAGAGGGCTGGCATCTTTTCTGTTTAAATGATTCATTCCCCTTCTAGACTTTGAATTAATTTTATGGTTTGAATTAAAGTTAGATTATAAGTCAATGATTCAACTTTGTGGTGTTCAGTTTTAGGGAGGTGCCTGGCACAGCCCTGCTGCTCTCATTTACTGTAGGGATTGATCAATTTACTGATATTACTAAGCATTTATTTGGGCTCACAGCCAGGGCTTCTGGTGTTGGAGCTCTGGCAGTAGGAGATTAAAAGGAGGGCTAAGAGCTGACAAAGGTCAGCTTTCTGCATTATCATAGGAATTGAGCTCCACAACAAAACTCAGTTTGGGGTTTTCATGATATTAAAATTTATGGTTAACATTCAGTATATGCTTAGTAATAGCATTTCAGTGTGTTTCGTTAAAGTTCAATTTATATATTTCAGTTTTGGTCTAAATTTTCAGAGATTTGTGTATTTCAGTTGCTTTGCATGTTACTGTAGGCATTGGCCTTATTGAGGTTAGCCTAACGAGGTGGTCTGGAATCAATATTTGGGCTTCTACAGCCCAAAAGATGTCAGCAGACATGACCCACAGCCATGTATTTTACTTTTATAGAGAGACTAATCTCTGCCTATAAGGAAGATTGGTTTTAACAATTCAGCACATCAATATATACATTATCTGGGGATTGCAGAGAGAGGATTAAAATTAGGAGTAATCTAATCTGGTACTTAAAATTAGGGTTAGAGGATTTCAGATTAGGATTATGAAATTTGGAGCCCTCTGTGGTATAGGTTTTTGGTCATTGACATGTCTATGTTTTAATTGGGGATTGGCTTTGTGTTTAGAGTCTGAAGCCCCAGAACTGCTTTTCTGGTGTACTTTACAGAGCTATAATTTGTACTGATGTCAACCTTTTGTTGTAAATATGTGATATTTAAACATGTAATAACATTTTTTACTGCATAGATGGGTATGTTATAGTCTGGTTTACCATTTAGGAAACTACAGTGTCAGAAACCTACTGTATTCATTGCTGTTATTAGTATTACTTATCCTACCAGGGCTTATACTAAACCCATCACAAACTGTAGCCTTAAGAACAGCCAGGGAGAAAATCCTTGTCATGCTCCCAGAGAGAGAAAACAGAATCATCTCTCCATCCCAGCTCACTCACCCCCACATAGAGCACCTGAACGTGATGCATGTCCAGAAGAATGTGGGCTATCAACTGCTGTGCCCTGGGACATGCAACAGGAAAAGACACCTTTCCCTTCCCCAAGGCACAGCATGGGAGTGCAGGTGCATCTGACAGGCTTTTGTACCTTGGTTGGCACCTCTGTCAAGGGAAAATGAACACCAAATTCTAGCAACAGTGTTCTGTATTTTCTGTGACTGACACCTGAGAATGAGTCGGTGTCACTAAACATGGTCTGCTCTGTTTCTGTCACAGTGTTCTCTGTGCTGATGGCTCTTTAACTTAACCTTTTGAGGGACTCTGAGCTGTAATGAGGACTGAAAGGAAAATAAAATCCCTGCAGCAGAGAATCAAGCAGTTTGTATCACTCTCTGATGGGTTCATCATAGTAATTATGAACCTGTCAGCCTATACAATACCTGCCTGCAATAAAAGCCTAGTTTGAAGACTCTTTCCCTTGCCTGGACTGTGAAGATTCCCTTTCTAGCATAGACAGTGGGAAGGAACCTCTTTTTATATTTTTTTTTTCTCTTATCACAAAAGATTAGAACAGAATGTCAGATCCTGACATGAGGATAGGGGTGCATTTGTAAAGGACATCCTAGGAGAAGTGTTCAAGGGAAGTAGCAGGTCATCCTTAAAAGATTCTCTTCTTCCAAACAAAAAAGAACCTGCTTTGCAGACCCAACAACAAAAAGTCCTTTCCCTCAGCACCTAACAGTCTTGTTTCAGTACATCATCAGAGATGTATCTGGAGGATGGGACTTTTTACAGGCAGCCTTCTTTTATTCACTTCAGAATGAGTCATATGTTTTTGTGACCAGAGCAGTTGGTTTGAAGACGAAAATTACGAATAATGCACCACCCTTAAGACAATTCTATTCCTGAAAGATTGAGCTCAGGGTATTGGCAATATCCTTTGCTGAAAGTTAGTTTTCAGAAAATAAGAGAAAATCCTAGGGATGCTGGTAAAGAATATGGGTTGACATAAGCATATTCTTACCAGAGAACGTAATTTATCCTGTGTTTATGGGTGCTGTGCCTGAGAAACAAATATCATAAAGGCTCAGTCAGGCTGGAAAGAAAAGAATTTGCATAGCTATGATAATATACAATAACTGCTGCTTAAAAGCATGGCCTTCCAGAAATCCTGTCAGTAACAAAATGACATTGCTAATTGCTTCCTTTTCTGCTGAGGAGTGAAAACCTTGAGCAGGGGGTGGAGGTGCATGTGCCAAAGTACTGACAATGAACATTAGAGCCCCGCTCTGCCTGTGCTTTAGTAAATGATTCAGGCCAATTCTTGCTGCTGTTCAATGCAGAGCATGAGAAATGAGCAGGATGGAGAGAGACAATTTATGGGAAAGCTCAGTGTAACAGCATGCCAAAGCTAATCCCACAGGAGCTCAGTGACTACACTGTGATGTCAAATAGCAGTGAAAATGAACTCTCAGATGAATGTGGAAGCCACATGAGGAAGAACAGCCCAAAGATCCTACCATGGTCCTTTCCTGGTACCTGATCATGGGTTCTTAGTTGGCCTGAGTACACTGAAAGGAAAAAGAGCTCAAAAGGGAAGCATCTTGCTCAGCCTTTCATGCCAAGCTCAGTGGAAATTCAGATCTCTTGATGTTTTTGGTGTTTTCATTAATATTTTTTCCTTAATTCTTCAAGAATATAGCATACATTTCAACTAAGGGTGTGCTCCAAACTCACTAGTGTGCTCAGGATAACAGCAAGTCCTAAGTGTTTAGCATAACTCTTATATTAAAGTAATTTGATGTAACTGTGATATGAACATCACATTTTCAAAATGATCCTTAGAATCTATAAAGTGGACATCTACTAGAGGAAGAATTGCTAAAAATGGTTTAAGGATGGAGAAGCCAAAACAGTGGGACTGCAGGCTGTCTGTCATATTCTAGGAAATTAATTTCAGAATGCCCAAAAAGATGCAACTTTTATTTGCAGATAAAGAGTTCCTGTGAAGACACTGTATCTTAATAAACCTGTTCTTGTGTGAAAATATGAGACGAGTTTAAAGTAGAAAGATCTAAATTATAAATAGAGATAAGGTGCTTCTCCTTGTATTTATGGCATGTTGTTCTTTTTAGTTGAGTTGAGTTAATGTGCTACATAGTCTC